ACTATTAAATCTATACAGGGTGTCCCAGAAATAAGTATTTTAAGGGGTGGTAGATCTCGATAAAAGAAACATATTTTCTCTTTTCTCTGTCGTTTTTCTAATAAGTCCAAAATACCGGAATTATTTTACTTTGAAAATTTCCAAAAAATATTTTTTGCTAAAATTTTGAGAACCACTGGATCTTTTCTGGATTTTCTTTCTTGTAAATTTAATCTAATACCTATGTTGCTATATTATCAAGAAATTATATTTTTAACTAAAAAAAAAATCAAAAAAATTTTCAAAAAATTTCGAATTTTCCAATTTTTTTTTTCGCGAAAAAAACCTCATAGGCGTGTTTCTGGGGTCGAACTATACTACCAGTTAAAATACTTGCACTTATTTCTGGGACACCCTGTGTAATGATACAAAGCCCACTAACGACCTGGTCGTTGGCTGGTCGCTGCGACCAGTAGACTGTACTAAAATATTATTATTTTCTGCTTCTTGTTGCCGCTTTTCTTCCAAACTAATAATTTTTCGAATAATATCTCTCAAATTCAACGCAAACTAAACCAAACCAAAATTTTCTATAAGATATAGTTTTTGCACACGTGCAGAAAAACCCAAGAAATAATATACAGACTAGATCAAAGGGAAACTTAAATCTGGTTTTTTTCTTTCTGAAGGGTCGGTTCCAGTAAAAATTCAAAACATTTTTATTTGATATACTCTATTTATGGTTGGTATGATACCTGTTATTATACTTTCGAGTTTCGATGGTAAAAAATAAAAAAGCGTATTTAAAGTTTCTTTTTGACCTGCCCCGTATAATTTTTTTTTCGTCCTCTACAATGTGTGAAAACTATACTAATTACCCTACTGAAATTACCATTAATATTTTAAATGCATTATTTAATATTAGAACATTTAACAAGCTCATGAATAGGAAGTTCGCTTTTTAGTTAACTCGGATATTTTAACATTTCTGAAAACAATATTTTCTAATTGGTAAAAAGTAAAAAATCGTTAGATCTGATAACCCTGCTGAAACTGGTCGTCCATCTGGACAAGATCTGGACGAACCTATGTACGCAATATATACGACCAGCCAAGGGCCAGGTCGCTGCAATATACCTTGTTTATGAAAATAAGTGTTGTCACGCGTTTTGGCCTTAGCTCGGCTCTTTTAAATTAAAAAAAAAAGAAAAAAAAATTTAGAAAAGAAGAAAAAAAAATACGAAGAAGAAAAAAATATTATTAAGTTAGCGATTAAGAAAAGTAAATATTTATGGAATTTGCAGGGGTCTTGTCGCGAACAAATTTATGCCCTAGCTCAGAAAATTCGGAGAGTAGGGGCGGGTTAAGAGCGCCACTGACTTTAGACGGAAAAAAAAGTCAGAAATCCCCCAAGGTGTATTTAGGGCCTTACAAGTTCCACAAATACATAAATAAAAAAAGTAAATAAATAAACAAAAAAAAGTCAAGATCTTAGAGAATTATGTAGACATAGGGCCAAAGGAAATATAAAAAAAAAATGCAAACTGATTAGTTTCAGTACCCTCTATTGAAATATAAAAGGAAAATATAGGAAACAGTAAATAGAAAATACCAAATAGCAAATAGTAAATTAAATAAATCAATAAAAAAAATTGTGCACCAAGAAAAATATATCTCACAATACGCAAGTAACAAAATTACGTAAATACCTAGGTACCTTTCGTGATCACGTAAGATTTACAAAATAAAATATATATGTATATATCAGCGCAACTAAATTCAGCTAAGATATCAAATTAATCAACAAATTAATAAATCAAATAAATAATACTAAACCAATTCACTAATAATAATAATTAATAATATAATTATTAAATAAATAAATCAAAATAATCAACTAATAATTATGAATTCATCAGTTCAAGAAATTTAGATATCGATAAAAAAAATGAATAGATTTAAATTTTAAATAGAGACAAAAAGAAACTGTGTCAGCTGTATTAAATTTACAAAAAAAAATTAAAGAGAAAAAAAAAATGAAATATTATTTTATCAACAGAATTAAGTATGTGAAAATTTATTCTAATTAAATTATAATGTTAAAAAAAATTATCTACGTTCAGTATTCGTACGCACCAATGAAATTCAAATCATAAGATAGGAAAAAAAATAAAAATTGAATTGTACGATACCAAATAGTTGAAAATCTTCTAAATCAAATCAATCTTGGGCAGACACCGTCGGCTGTCAACTGTCAACCGTCGACTGTCAACTCCTCCAGAAAAGTAAAATGGATACAGCGAAAAAAAACTGCTCCAACAAAAAAACTGGCTCAGAGAGAAGTCTTCAACACAGAAGAAAAACTTCTTCGGCCCAGACAAAAAAAACTTCTTCGGTCCAGACAAAAAACTCTTCGGCTCCGACGAAAAAAAACCCTGCTAACTCAGGGTTTTCTACGAATCCTCAGGTGATTAATATTATTTCTTCCCCTGGATGGAATGGGGTGCTTAATAAAAAAAAGGCGGGCTGCTTGGTTGACCCACGTCAGCTTTTTGAGGTGAAAATCCCGTCACCGGTAAACCGTAGCACCGTCCAAAAAAACAAAAGGTAAGATAGGATGCTGCAGTAATTTTTGAGGCACACTCGAAAATCCCCACAAGGGTAAAAATCAAAAACTTGACAAAAATGACCGAGAGGCCTCTGTACCTCACACTAGCTGAACATAAAGTGACCAAACCAAGGTAGTTCCAAGAAAAACGAAAACCTTTTTTGCAACAAAGAAATAGCCAGATAAAAACACGAGCCCTTGATAAAATATGGATTGCCAACCATGAGCTGAATAAAGACATGAAGAAAAAGTTATATATTAAAGGAAAATAAAGTTAATATCAATAATTTATATAATTAATAGAATAAATAAAGTTAACGAGATTAATGAAAGTTATATAGAAATTTGCTTATCAAAACATTCAAAAATTAATAAATAACAACAATCTAGAGATATTGCGCATGACTCACTTGCCGGATCGATACGATATTTTTAAGACAATTATGCTTAGAAAATTCTACCTAAAAATTAAAATAGAGCAACATAAATTTAATGAGTTTAACTAAGTGACAATAGGCTCAATAATTACTGTTGATTAAATAAAATACAAAAATATATAATCAATTTATTAAAGTATATTTTGGGTTGCCTAATAGTTAATGTTAATAAAAATATAAATAAATATTTGACAGTTCAATTCAAAAATTTCTAACCTACGTATTTAGTATATAAACAGAATTAACGGCGGAAAGAATTATTTTATCTATTTCGGCTAAAATAAATATTAAATTGTATTAAATCAAACTAGTTTTGTGCTGCAAAAAAAAATGTTATTAAGTGTGAAATATGTTTAGTTGAAAATAAGGATGGAATAATTACTTTTGTTAACATGTAAGTACGATTTATTTATTCTTGGTTTACTGAATTGAACTGATCGATATTTCAGACTAATATAATAATATCAATTAGCGTTAAATTATTAAAGAAAGGAAATAAAATAGTTTAGTGAAATTTTGGCACGTTACAGTGTAAAATATATTATATTTTTAGAAAGCTCATGGGATAAGGCAAATAAAATATAATAATATGGAGGGTGTCCTATTTAAAAAAAAACATAAGTTTCAGTCATATTTCGGAAATGACAGTCCACAGCGAAAAACTAGTTACGCCACTGGTTTCTAGGTAAAATATTCTACGGAACTCAGTTTTTACCTTTTCGATTAATTTATAGTTTATATGTAGTTATAAAATAACTAAGATAGGAAGGGGATTGAAAAATGCAGTATTTTCAAATTTACCCTGTATTTCAGAAACCATTCTTAATTTTTAAAAATCTTTTGTTTAATAAAAAAGTAGCACAGTGGCGTGAAAACCGTATCCTTGTCTTTGTATCTCTACTCCTAAAACAAGAAACTCCATAAACCACACGAAAATTGGACGCCCTGTACAGGGTGAGTCGAGCTACAATAGGCCCCTGCAGCCTAAGTGGACCACCCTTAGTAAAACACAAAAAAACAGAGTATAACTTATATCATTTTTTCTAAACAATAAAAAAATGTTAAATAGAAAAATTTTATGGAATGTTAAGATACACATCTTAAAATTATTTTCTAGTATACAGGGTGCTCCAACGTAATACATTGTGGTTTTAGATTCTTGGTATAGGATATAACGTTGATAGTTTTTAGTATTTTGGTTTATTTAAAAAAAAATGTTAGATTTCAATAGGGTAAAAAATTGTAAATCTTAAATAAATCAAAATACATCTTTTTAAATTTCATTTTGATTGATATATTTTCACTTGTTTACTCTTTAAACCACCTTACCGCAAGCACAACAAAAGGCAACGTTAGACCATAACTATGTTGATCGAACACGGACAAACAATAGACAACAAATTTACGATAGACTTAGCAAAAAATCCATTTGATTGAGAATAAAAAGCTGCAGTTAATCGAAAACCAATCATAGAATTTGAATAATAATTTGCTACGGTAATTTGTTTGGTACGGTTTAGTCAAAAAAGTAAGTTTTGAACGAAATTTTTAAAAAAGCTTTTAAAGAATTAGATAACGCACTAATGCAAACTGTACGCAATCCTTTGAAATTGAATGAAATTGAAAATTAAAATTTGATCAACGTTGGTTTTGTAAAAAAAGGTAATATGTTACTTATATGGTAGTGTAAATAATCCATTGCTATTATTGAAACATACAGGGTGTCCCAATATTTCATGGGAATAGGACTACTACGTATTTTTGGAATGTCATTGAACTCAATTTACTTCTATACAAAAATGCTTTGTTTGTCCGTTAGAGGACATCAATGAAAAATAAAGCCGAACGTTAATTAATTTCAAATTTATCTTACATGTAAGTTTTTTAGTAGTATAGTAGTTTCTAATGATATATAATATCTTACTGAGTAAAAGCCATACATGAGTGAATGATAATAGTTATTAGTAAAAACTCACATTCACTGATTTGCTAACACTTCAATCCATTCGTGCCGATGTTTTTGGTTCAGTACTTATGACTTAGTGTGACAATAAGGGCCTTGTTGAGTGTCCTAATATTTTCCAACTGTGATTGGGCGAATATCCTAGTAAACAAATGAGCAGTCAAAACTAAAGAATGATATATCTCATAGTCTAAACATATTGGCATCAAACATGTGAGGGAAGTTAGCAACTCATTGAAAGTAGGAATTGTGAAGCTGTGTGAAGTGTGGCTGGTAAAGGATTTGAAGCAGGATGAGGCAGGATAATAGCAGCAAAGCAGGAACTTGTTTCAGCCATCCTGTTATTGTGTTGCTATGTGTGACGTCACCAATCACACTTAAACTTGCTGTATCTTTACAACAGCAAGTGTTGCTGGGATGAAATTTAGAACAGGATGCAACAGGGGTATCGCAGCTCAAGCAGAAACCAGTTTTGGCGATCCTGCTTCTCATGTGTTGCCAACTGGGGAGTCAGCAACTAAAATAAAAGTAACTATAGCTCAAAATTGGGAGGTGTGGCTGGGTTGGGATAACACATTGTACCCGACCGTTACATTTCAACTACAGTGGGGATGTCGTTAACACATTGTACCGATTGTTACATTTGTACCCGACCTCCCCTATATTATTATTATTATTTTCTTTTCTTTTCTTTTTAATCTCAACATTTCGTGTGGGGCGATATATAAGCAGAGGAAGAATTCGCTTCATCCTGTCTATATTGAAAGGAACTTACGAACTAGATGGCAGGTTTGTAAAATTACGGCCTTTTGCATGGGATAACGTAGGCCTTTTTGTAGTTCCAATTTAGCCAAGTTAGACGAAAGATTGGTGGTACAAACTCCTTCGGTGGAGATTATGAGGGGCACAATACTGACTTTGTTTAGGTTCCAAATGTGTTTTATCTCTAGAGCTAGGTTAGTATACTTTTCTCTTGTTCTGTTTTGAATATATTGTGCGTGAATGGAATTCCGATGTCAATAATCCATGCTACTTTTTCAGATTTATTGATAAGCAAGATGTCCGGACGGTTGTAATCCACAGTTTTATCCGTTATGATTGGTCGGTCCCAGTATAATAGATGTTGGTCCGAGGGGTAAACCGCAGAGGAATTATGGTGTACACTATGAAGGAATTCTACAGGAATTCCAAGGAATTACGAGGAATTCCAAGGAATTCCTTAGAAATTACTAGGAATTCCAATTATTTCCGTAAGAATTCCAATGAATTCCAAGGAATTCCTTAGAAATTTAGAGGAATTCCATAGGAATTAAGAGGAATTACAAGCAACTTTATAAAAAATTAACGAACATTAGTAAACCATGAATACTATAATAGGTAGTACTAAATTTAAAGAAAAACGTTTTGCAGGCTTTTTTACTATCCGTTTTTCGTTTTCGCTTCCAAAATTTCCCAATATCAAATATCTACAGGTTAGATATTCTTTTAATTTAATATTGTACCCTCGATTATATATCTAAAATATTTTCCAATAGTATGGCCGAACCAACCCGAGAGATCTACTTATAACGTTCCCTGATTTCGCCATTTTAAAGAAACCCTCATAAGATTTTTTTATTCAGTACTCCAGAAAGTGTAAAGTTGATTTTTTCATTTCCTCGGAATAATACCTAGGTATATACTATAGGGAAATTAATACAACTTTAGGTGCACTTCAATGATCAATGATACCATGCGTAATCTTATGGAATTTACTGGTGATCGTATTATGACGTGCAACTGAAGTTTTATTAATTTCCTTTCCTATAGATACGAGTATAACTAGGTAACCTATCATTTTCAAGAAATCCCGAGAAAAATTAATTTTAATAAGTAAGTGCCGACATATTTCCAGTATTTTTACCTCATGATCCCCTATTAGTCCTAAAATTTAATTAAAAAAACGTAAATCTCGTAATAGTACTTTTTATTGTTAGATCTAGTACTTATAGAGACATTACACATTTATAAAAATCACCAGAAAATTCATAGCGGAACTGCGAAACCGAGGTGGCAACGCTGGTTCAGACTGAAAGAGTTACCGAGTTCGTACCAAGGAATTCCAAGGAAGACCTTGAATGATTGACCTTGACCTTGAAGACCAGGAATTCCAAGGAATTCCGAAGGAATTACGAGGAATTCTGAGGAATTATTTGAGTAAAAGGAATTACGGTGTACACTTTTCCCTCTGCGGTTTACCCCTCGTGTTGGTCGGATTCCAATACTGCATCAGGTGTATATTTATAATATGGCAGCGACGATTTTATTAGCTTGCACCTTAATGCTAAGCGCGAATGTATAATCTTAGCCACTTGGTTATGTCGACAGAGGTAATCGGTGTCTGCAAGGGCGGAGCACGCACCAGTAATATGTTCGATGGTTTCACCCTGTTAGTAGTAGTTAGTTATAAAGTAGCGTTGTCTCTGAAGACTGTATAAAAATTCAATTATTTTGATGCATCTCCTATAGTTTTTAAATGAGTGTGGATGAATTTAAATATTTTCTTAGACATGACATTTCTGACACGTAAATATAAGAAACTAGCGTGTACCCGCGACTTCGTTCGCGTCGAATTAATCATTTGTAATTGTGATGATAAAGCAAAGCAAGAATTTCCATTAACATACAAACTGGATAAAATTTTCTCACATTTATGTCAGCATAAGAAAAAACAATATGGCGATATTATTATATAACTGAACTGGTAATATTTGAGGGGTAGTTTCATCTCGTTGGAATTTGACTTTCGAAAAATCCGTTTGCCAAAAATAAGCTTTTTACGTCAAGCAGTTTAAGTAATCATAAGGTTAATCAACTACCCAACTTTTTGGAACATCCTGTATGATTTTTTAAAAAATTTCAAAATATGTAAAAAAACAAAATAAATTATGTGTCCAAGCGTTTTCCCGAAAGACTAACCGTTTTTTAAATAACAAATATTGTAGTATTTGAGGGGCGTTTTCATCCTCTTGGAATTTGAGATTCGAGAAACCCCTCCTTATCGAACCTCTACACCCCATAGTCAATCCGTTTGCCAAAAATCAGCTTTAAACGCCAAGCAGTTTAAGCAGAATCGTGATTACTCAATGGTCATATTTTATGAAACACTCTGAATACATTTTTAAAAAAATCTTAAAATATGTGAAACAACAAAATAAAATTTAATAATTAATTTCTAATATTTGAGGGGTGGTTCCACCCCCTTAGAATTCGAGTTTCGAAAAATCCCTTCTTATCGAACCAAAAATCAACTTTTTACGTCAAGCGCTTTAAGCAGGATCGTGATTAATAAATGACCAGATTTTTCAAAACATCCTATATACATTTTTAAAAAAATATTAAAATATGTAAAAAAAAAACAAAATAAAATATACGTGTTTAAGCGTTTTTTCGGAAACTTGACTGTTTGTTAAATAAACAATATTGTAATATTTGAGGGGTGGTTTCACTCCCTTGGAACTGGAATTTCCAAAAATCCCTTTTTATCGAACCCCCTATTATCCCCGAATCCCTTCTTATCGAACACCCTAGAATCAACCTGTATGCCAAATTTGAGCTTCTTGCGTTGAGTAGTTTGAGCAGGATCGTGATTAATGAGTGAGTCAGTCACTTAAGGATTTTATAATACAGGGTGGCCCATCGAAAACGTTCCGCAAGGCATAACGGCCAGGGTGTTTCTTTTTTCAAAAAATCCAAAAACACGTTAATTTTGTTTGTGAGGGGGACAACTTTTGCCCCCAAAATGATGTGCAAAATCTTCAACCCTCTAAGAGGGGGTGTCATCCGCCAACTTTTTTCAAATGGGAAGGGGGGTCAAGTGGCACCGCAATGAAAAGAGCTTTATATTCTCTATACTTTCCCGCTTCGTTTTTGAAAATCGGTCGAGTCATTGAGAAAATATGAAGGATTGAAATTTGAAAAATTTATTTAAACATTTATCAGAATAAATGATAAGGATAAATTCCTTCGACCAATTTGCTGTTTTTTCTTATTATTTTTAGATGTCTACGCATTTTTTCACTTGCCACAAGGTTGAACCATCAGATGCGGCAGTTGCTAGATAGCTGTTCTGTGACTTGTGCCGTTGAAGTTCTTCAAATTCTCACTTCGTTCATTTCCAAAAATACCAGCCCACACGTTCAATAACTGAGGGTTTTCAATATCTGTGTGCAACTCGTGAAAAACCCTGGGGTTGTCCTCAGCCCAGTACCGACAGTTGTGCCGATTAACTACACCGTTCAAAAAGAACGTACACTCGTCCGAAAAACACACATTAAATAGGAAATTATTATCATTCGCCACTCGTTCATTCATAGTTTCATAAAATTGCAAGCGACGATCAAAATCGTCTTCGTTGAGTTCTTGTACCAACTGAATTTTGTACGGGTGGAACTTGGGTGGAACTTGCGTTTTTTTAATATCCTTTGGACACTTGTACGATTCACGCCGGTCTTATTGGCTAATATTCTTGTACTCAGCGTACTATCCATGGCAACTTGGCCCAATACGAATACCTCCATAACTTCATTTACTACAGGATTTTCCCTCTGCCTCTTTTTATTCATAACGGAACCAGTTTCGCGAAATTTTGCTACTAACTCGCGAACAATTTTGCCATAAAGGTGTTTGTCGGGATGGCGTTCATTGAATATCTGCGCAACCCGATTGCCACATTCATTATTTTTAAAATAAAGTTCGATTATTTCCACTTTTTCTGCACCAGAAGTGAGTACACCATAATTGTTAAAAAGTTTAACGATATTGAGAAGAACTTCAACGCACAAGTCACAGAACAGCTATCTAGCAACTACCGCACCTGATCGTTCAACCTTGTGGCAAGTGAAAAAATGCGCAAACATCTAGAAATAATGAGAAAAAATAGCAAATTGGTCGAAGGAATTTATCCTTATCATTTATTCTGATAAATGTTTAAATAAATTTTTCAAATTTCAATCCTTCATATTTTGTCAATGACTCGACCGATTTTCAAGAACGAAGCGGAAAAGTATAGAGAATAGAAAGCCCTTTTCATTGCGGTACCACTTGACCCCCCTTCCCATTTGAAAAAAATTGGGGGATGACACCCCCGCTTAGAGGGTCGA